AATTAATGACTCACATTGGGATTAAGCAAGGTGAAACTTTTTTCTTACCTCACCAACTTGGACGTGAGTGTGATATTTACTTGTCATCGAGAGGTAAAGGTTCAAGTGAGTTAATCAATCGGAATAGTGCTGGTGAAATAAAAGGCGTGGGAGGAAATAAACTTCAGAAGTATTCTCACTTGCGAACAGACAAAAATATATCTAAAGTGTTTGTTGCGGAGACTAATAATTCGAAGTGCGTTCTGTGCAGAAATATACATCTCCTCGCTACCTGCCCCCAATTTAAAAGTATGTCAGTATATGAGAGAACTGAGGCATTGAAAGGGAATAATCTTTGTTTTCGTTGTTTCGCACCCCACAGGTTAAGTGAATGCCGTTCAAAGAAAAACTGTTTTTGATCTGAACCTCATCATACGATGATTCATTTTCCGCGTGAATATTTTAATCATTCCACTTCTCAAACTCAAAAACGTACTTCTGAGTACAGTTCGCGCACATGTTAAAAATAAATTTTCTGAGTGGATTGAAATTAGATGTTTGCTGGATGTTGGGACTCAATCATGTTTGCGTACTATGGCGTGCGCGCAGAGGTTGCAATTAAGATTAGAGAAAATAAATACCGTAGTTTCGTGTGTTAATGATGCAACTATGGTAGTAAGCAAATGTGTTAGAACTTTAGTGGCAAATAAGGATAAGAGTTTTGTTAGAGAATTATCGATGCTAGTGGTTGACAAAATTACTGATCTCATTCCAAATAGAATAATTGATGTGGATGTTAGTGTTTCAGAGTTTGTGTCATTAGCTGATAATAGTTTCAACAAACCTGAGAAAATTGATATGTTATTAGGTGCGGAGGTGTTTTACGAATTGTTGAGGCCGGAACGATTTTATGCTCAAAATTCCAAATTGTTGTTGCAAAATACTGTGTTTGGTTTTGTCGTGAGTGGCAGCGTTGATCAGGTAGATGTTGGTCATGTTCATTGTGGGTTGATTCTTGACGATGACTTGAATAAAATTTTAAAACGATTTTGGGAAATTGAAAATGTCGAAGTAGAATTTGCAATGGATACAGAGGCGTCTTTGAGTGAGGATCATTTTGTAAGCACCCATAGAAGAAATGCCGATGGTAGATATGTAGTTGCAATGCCCTTGAGTAAGGATCCGTCGTGTCTTGGACAGTCTAAGAACATGGCTTTGAGGCAACTTAATTGTTTGTGGAAGCGTTTGTCTAGGGACTCAGAGTATTTGTCGTTATATACGGATTTCTTGCGTGAGTATGAGGAACTGGACCATTTGCAAAAGGTGATTGAAGAAAGTGAGCAGCCCACACATTACTACATACCAGAGTTGGCCAAAAATGTAATCGATTACATTTTTTGATTACAGGAATCAATTACTTGTAACCATGATTACAATTTTCAAAAGTTTTGATTACAGCTGTAATCATGATTACAATATTGATTACAGTAATCAATTACTTGTAATCGTGATTACAAAGTTTGATTACAGCTGTAATCATGATTACATAGTCGATTACAGTAATCAATTACTTGTAATCATGATTACAATTTTCAAAAAATTTTGATTACAGCTGTAATCATGATTACAATTTTGATTACAGTAATCAATTACTTGTAATCATGATTCCAAGTAATTGCGATTACAAGTAATCACAACAAAAACGATTACAAGTAATTATGATTACAAGTAATCAAAATATATGATTACATGTAATTTGATTACATGTAATTTGATTACATGTAATTATGATTACATGTAATCTAATTACACGATTACAAGACTATTGTATTCTTATAAATGATTATATTTTACAGTAGATAGTAGAATGTATTTTATAATGATACATTTTGCACGTATTAACATGTACTGCATTTTGTACGTATTTGTATACGTACAAATGAATGTAACTGAAATGTATGTACATATGATTTTATCTAGTGCATATGTTCAGACATTTTAGTATCACACACATGTACATACACTTATATTGTAGGTATAAAATATATGTACGTATGTATATAGATAATAATTACGTATGTATGTGCAAACAATGTAGGCATGTACATTTATACACAATGAATATATGCATTTTATGCAAATATTTGTGTATGTAAAATGTATATCTATGTTCATGTACGCATGTATATACAAGTACTTGTGTTTGTACGAACATACATACATTGTCTGTACAATGTATGTCCCATGCATGTATGTGCAATTTATTTATGAACAGTACAATATATGTATGCATGTACAATATAGGTATATCTGTAGGATGTACAATATATGTATGTATACATGTACATGATATGCATGTCCAGTGTATTTATGTACATGTACATAATATGTTCATGCTCAATGTAAGTATCCAAATATGCATAATACATTTGTGAACTATTGTACGTACATTGGGCGTATTTATATTTCACATATATTCATACATGCATTCGACATGCATAACGTACGTACATACACACATTTGAGATGCATATATTGTACAGATGTATATACATATAGCGTACAGATGTATATACATATAGCGTACAGATGTATATTCATATAATGTACATATGATGAAATGAACATATAATGTTCATATAATGTACATATGTGTGTACATATACAGTACGTATGTGCATAAATATATTGGGCATAATTCTTTCGTACAAATTTTACATGTGTACATGCATGCTATCCCTATCTATGCATATGGTGCAATGTATATATGTACAATGAATGTATCCACACATGTACAATACACGTATGTTCCATGTATGCATATCCATATGTACTATATATGCACGTACAATACATGAATGTATGTACATACATTGTACATGCGTACATACATTACACGTATACATATGTACATTACATTTATGTCTAAATATGTGTACAATGCAATAAATAAAATGCATGTAAGTTAACTTTTAATGACTCAAGCAAGTTAAATGACAAAATCAAACGATATTTAAATTTAGTTTTCAGCTTTAATTGTTCTATATCATTTTGAAATTCTCTGAATAAAAAATTATTTTCAGGTATTTTCATGAAATGTTTGACAATACAGATTTATTTTTTTTATAACATAATGCATGATTCATAGAAATTTTTTAAATGGTAAGAAAAACGGTAAATTTTATGTGTGGAATTAATATTTAGAAATTCCAAATAAAATTATCGTTTGCTTTCTAAAAAATATGAGGTCGAGTTTCATATACCTTAGAATAATTTTAAAACAAATTTTAATAACTTTACTCATATAAATTTTTTTAATGTATGCACAATGTATGTGTATATTGTAATTACATATATTTAAATGTACGCACGTATTTGTACATTACTTGTAATTATGTACATGTATACGTTGTATGCACATGCATACATTGTGCATATAACTATTTTTTTGTACATCCATGCATTACATGCGCATAAGTATTAACAAAGTATGTAGTTATACAAGTACATACGTAAGTTGTACATAAGTACATACTTTGCGTGCACATATATCGATGTACATATAAATATGCATGTATACATGTACGCATTTTATTTACGCAACTATGTGCATATATTGTACCTTTAAATAACATTTTTACATATTGTACGCAAATACGTACAATTTTATATACAAACGTACATTGTATATACGTGCTATTATCGTAAATTTATACAATATATGCACTTAAGTACATAAAAGCATGCAAACGCATAAACATTATTTTCATATACGTTCATACATACATTGTCTATGTATACAAAGATACAAAACATTGCCTTTTTGTACAAACTAACATACATGCGTACATGTATCATAAATGCATAATTATATGTACTAAGCATATGCGCATTGCATTAAGTATATTACAATATAATTATGAATATTGTACGTACAAACAACGTTTGTGCATACATTGTATGTATAGGAATCGCAAATTGTACGTTCATGCGTGCGTACATTCTATGTACATAAAAATATGTAAACACATGAATACTTACATAAAAAATTTGACTATAGTATACAATCGTAATAACTTGTAATCGTATAGTTTGATTACAAGTAATCACAATTACATGTAATCAAATTACATGTAATCATGATTACATGTAATCATATATTTTGATTACTTGTAATCATAATTACTTGTAATCGTTTTTGTTGTGATTACTTGTAATCGCAATTACTTGTAATCATGATTACAAGTAATTGATTACTGTAATCAAAATTGTAATCATGATTACAGCTGTAATCAAAATTTTTTGAAAGTTGTAATCACGATTACAAGTAATTGATTACTTGTAATCGTGATTACAAGTAATTGATTACTGTAATCAAAATTGTAATCATGATTGCAGGTGTAATCAAAATTTTTTGAAAGCTGTGATCACGATTACAAGTAATTGATTACATAGCTGTAATTATTTGTAATCAATTACAGTTGTAATCGATTACTGTAATCAACGGCCAACTCTGCTACATACCACACCATGGAATATTACACCCTGATAAATTGACTACTAAGATGAGAGTCGTCTTCAATGCTTCATCTCCCACCACAACAGGCCTAAGTTTAAATGACATTTTAATGAAAGGTGAAGTAAAAGAAGATGTGTTTGAAACAATTTCTCGCTTTAGAAGACACAAATATGCCTTTACTACGGACATAAAAAAGATGTACAAACAAATATTGATAGATCCGGATCAAAGAGACCTTCAGAGAATAGTGTGGAAACCTGGATTCGATGCTGAAGTTTCAGTTTACAGGTTGAAAACAGTAACTTACGGAATGTCCAATGCCCTCATCCTTGCAATAAGAACTCTGCAACAACTGGCCGAGGATGAAAAATATCGATATCCTTTGGCTTCGGAAGCTCTTCTGCATGATACCTATATGGATGATGTTGTAAGTGGAGCCCAGAGTCTAGAAACTGCCCGTCAATTACAACTCCAACTTCGAGATTCTCTGCAATCCTGAGGAATGAAACTTCACAAATGGTCTTCGAATTCTGATCAATTGTGGAATAGTTCATCTTCATCTGATGTCGAGCACTCATTTTCTATCGATAATGACTTATCGGTCAAAGCGCTGGGCATCATCTGGAAGCCGTTCGAAGAAAAGTTTGTTTATAAGGTGTCAACTGCAGTAAAATCATCGTACACTAAGCGTGAAGTTCTCAGCGTGATAGCTAAATTATACGACCCTCTTGGGTTTTTAGCACCAGTCTTGACAAGAGTTAAAATCCTATTACAGCGATTGTGGCTGCAAAAACTAGATTGGGATGAAGTTCTGCCAAATCCAATCAGCGATTATTGGAATGATTTTGTGACAAATTTAAAGTGCATCGATGATGCGAAAATTGATAAATTTATTCCTTCGGACGAATTTCAACGAATTGTCCTTCAGGGATTCGCAGATGCGTCTGAAGCAGCCTATGGAGCTGTAGTCTATCTTCAATGTTTCACTTCAACGCATAGTGCTAAAGTAACTATTATCGCAAACAAATCACGTATATCACCAATTCGAGTGATTTCGATTCCCCGCCTTGAACTGTGTGCCTGTGTTCTTTTAGCCCAGCTTGTGCAAAAATTACGTGCATCTTTACGATTAGAAATTAGTGAAACTGTGCTTCATACCGATTCTACGATTGCATTAGCGTGTTTGAATACACCTGCGAACCACCTGAAGACATTTATCGCCAATCGTGTTTCAAAGGTTCAAACCTTGACAGAAAACTGTCACTGGGCCAACGTGCCGTCATCTCTTAATCCAGCCGACCTTGTTTCCCGTGGGTTAAGCCCTCGTGACATTCACAATCAAAAAATTTGGTGGAATGGCCCACCATTCCTAGAACAAGGTGAGTTATCCAATGAGCAAACAAGCTCCCCGCTGACGAATGAATATGACTACTCTTGTGAAGAACTTAATTCCGAAAGAAAAACTCTGACTATGACTTTGGACAATAACCTTTTGAACAAGATCCTTTCTTTACATAATAATTTTCATAAAATTGTATGTGTTTTAAGTTATCTTTACAGGTTCATCGAAAATTGTAGGAATCCATTATACAAACAAGTTGGACCCCTTAAGATCTGTGAAATCCAACGTGCAGAAACAACACTTTTTAGGCTGGTACAACAAGTGGAATTTTACTCCGAAGTGAAGGACATGTCCAGTAAGGGTATGGTTAACCCCAAAAGTAAAATTAAAATTTTTTCTCCATTCTTAGATACTGAAGGTGTCTTGCGTGTAGGTGGTAGATTGGTACACAGTAATTTGAGTTTCGACAAAAAAAACACCAGATGTTTCTTCCTAACAATCATAGACTGACCAATTTAATTCTTGAAATGATCCACAAAAGACAATTGCATGTTGGTCCGCAAACTTTGTTATCTAAACTCATGTTTGTGAAAATTGCAACACCATGAAGGACTTACGCGAGTGAGCTGAAATTTTCAGGAAATGCAAAGTAGAGCATGATATGCAAATGATTAGAATTTCAGACCCGTAGCGCATGCGCATGCTGAGCAGCGCCTTCTGAACGGCGGATGGATCCGAATAAATAGACAGCTGTAGCCAAGCGAGTATGGTTATCGGTGGTTATCTGCTAGTGGTAAACGTTAGCTTAGTCATTACTTATGCCTATTCGACGAAAGAGAGCGAGATTTCAGCAACTTACGGAGTTTAAACGGGGGAGAATCATCGGCTTTCGTTAAGCTGGATTATCTTATCGTGCAGTAGCCGCTCGTGTGCAGCGTAACAGCAGCACAGTGATGCGTGTTTCAAAGCAGTGGATGGACGAGTGTCGGACAACTCGAAAATGCGGGAGTGGACCCAGAAATGTCACGTCAGCTCGCGATGATAGACACCTGTTCGGCGTTGCGCTAACGGACCGTACGGCTCCCTCTAGACTACTGGCAGCACGGTGGTCAGTAGCTACAGGTGTTTCATTGTGTGCTTTATCAATTCGTAAACGTCTGCTGCAGCATGAACTGCGCGCAAGGACTCATTTATACAGGATCCCCCTCACGCTAATCCATAGCCGCCTGCGGCTATAATGGGCCAACCAGCATAGGGACTGGCTTGCTGATTGGCAGCGTGTAGTGTTTTCTGACAAATCGCGCTTCAATTTGTGGTACCATGATTGTCGCATTCGTGTCAGACGCTATGCCGGTGAACGCCATCTTCCGAAGTGCGTTATCGAACGCCACAGTGTACGAACACCCGGAATTATGGTATTCCCCGGATATGTCGCCGATTGAACATGTGTGGGATTTCGTTGGTCGGCGTCTCGCTCGTAATCCTCGTCCTGTTGCTTCTACAGACGAACTTTAGGTACGCATACAAACAGTATGGAATTCTCTTCCTCAGACAGACATTCAAAGTTTGCTTGACTCCAGGCCACGTCGTGTAGCAGCACTTATTGCGGAGCGTGGTGGTTACACAAAATACTGATTTCGATCTCTTGTTATTGTTTGTTTGCTTTGAAAGCTTTATCATTTATTTGTACCACTAGTCTACCACTCAACTGTGTATTAAATTTCATTCAATTATGACGATTCTTTCGTGGTGTTGCAATTTTCACAAACAGGAGTTTATTATTAGACAAAAATACTGGCCCTTAAACGGTCGCAATATGCGTAGAAAATTAGTTCATAATTGTGTAGATTGCTTTAAGGCTAACCCTGCTACTTGTTCACAAATTATGGGTCAACTGCCAACCGAGAGAGTTTCTCAGAGTTTTCCCTTTAACTATGTAGGATTGGATTTTTGTGGACATTTCTGTATTAAATATTCAAATAAAAAAATTGGAATTTTTAAACGTCCAATTACTAAACTTTGTATATTACCCTTCTCAAATGATCAATAAGTGTGAAAATTTCAATTTATGTGTATTTTGAATATTTTAGTTTATTGTGTACATTGTATTGAATTGTTTATGATTGTTTCAATTTAAGCAGTTGAATGTGTCATTCATCCCGGGGGTGAATGTTCGCGCCCTGCCTTGTTACTTAACAATAGATGGCGCTGCTAAAATACATTTACATTTTTACTTCTCAATTTTTAATATATACAGTTCATGTCGTCGTGAAGTGTGGTGCTTTTGTTTTCTTGTGTCGAGCTTTGCTTGTGAGTGCATAAAACAGTAACCGATTTGTAACAGTTCGTTGTGTCACTGTAGTGCTAACCGCAGCTAAATTTTTGATGCAGACGCACTATGCTGCGCCACAGCCATACGCGACAACTTGGCATACAAAGATAGATGTAGGCAACAACTCCTTCTGGTGTTAGGATTTTTCTCCCGTCTGTGAAGTATTTAACTTACGTCTGTGGGTACAACCGGCTGAGCAACTGCGCATGCGCTTGAAATGCTTGGCTAGAATTTAATTTTCACGAAATAATTTCGAAAAGTATCCCTGTTGAAGAAATTGTGCGGAGGTATACATAGTTTGTTGCTTACAGGTGTGATCAAGTGTAGCTTCGATTGCTGTATTGTTATTCCAAGCTTTTCATTTATGATTCAGTAAATAATAAAGTAAGTTAATTGTTTTAAATCATTTTTGTTTTTGTTTATAATATTGCATCAATGTATTTTTAAGCGTTTACGACATTTTATAATTCTAATTATTTGTGAAAAAGTAGCTAAAGATTTCCACGTTACTGAGTTAGGCTTAGTTACATATTTGTTTTCCGATTTTATCTTTGATATAATAAGAAATGTCTGTTAATACACGAGTATTATTTTAAAGATTCGATAGTTTATTCCTTTGCATATATAAACTATAATCAATAAAAAATTTCTGAACTGCTCATCTAATTCTTTTATGTGTGTAGAAAATATAATAAAAGGTAAATATATGGTATTAAAAGGTGTCAATGTACCATCATTTACAATTAAAATGTTATTAATTGTAAATGATGGTACGTTAACATTATAATTACTTTTCTTTAAGATTATTTAACCGTATATAGATTCTAAAATTATGATACTTATGACGATGAATTTATTGGAATTTTTAGACGTATTGTGTTTATAATCCCTATTGTTTTTCTATGATAAAAAAAATTGTCTACTATGATTGAGCTTACGTAGTAATGTGGTAACTGTAGACTTGTATATAACATTGAATTATAAAAGAGCACAGTAATAAATCTATCAAATGTTATCTGATTCATTCATTGTTTTATAATTGGTGCAGTTTTTACTAATTGATGTATTTAGCGACATATTTTCAACTGAATCTACTTGTGCAAAATTCCAGTAAAGTTAAGATTATTTTATAATTATATATTTCCCATCAATAATTGATGAAATACCAGAATGTATATAAGTACTGTAAGATTTTTTAAGCAGAGGTTGGGCAAGCAATACCTTTAACTGTGGAGAAGTGATGCAGTTTAGCGATAATCTATGATGCCCCAAGTAGCAAAAAGATATGATCTAATATTAGAAAGATGCAATATAATACTGCCCTGCTAGAAAACGCAATGCTCTTGAATCCTATCTTCTAATATAAGAACTAATATTATATAAAATTAAATAGTATTCGATATAACAGTAGAACTTTCAAAATAATCATCTATTTCATTATTATTGATCCAGCGCCACATTTTTGCGAAAGGTTATCCCATATTATTAAATAAACATTTATTTATGAAAGAAAACAATAAATTAAATATTACTTAAAATATCATTTTTAGCCAATGCAAAGAAAGCGAAAAATAATATTAGTGGTAGTTTGCGAACGATTGAACTCGAAAAACTTTTTCAACTGTTGATGTTGAGTTGTAACTCCTGCAATGCTTGTTTACAAGACGACCTCGCCATCTTGATTTCGCTTAGCTTTCGTTTCAACTACTTAAGGTATTTATAATTTGGTAATTTTTTGTAAACTTTATAAATTTCAATGATAGTTGAGTTGATAAAGTAGTATCGTACGTAATGTTTTTTCTTTGAGATAAAAATCAGCTAGAAAAGTAATTTAAAGCACGATGTGTTTGAGATGTTGTAGAAACATTCAGTGTTTAAGAAACGTGACCGCTAAATTAAAACATTTAAGAATTAATTTATTGATCATGTATCCAATAAAGTCAGTGAATATATTTTTTATTGTGATCATTATTGTACACTCGTAGTTGTTGACTTCTTTGTTGAAACGTATTGTCTTGCTGCAAGTAATAAGCATTGTTTTTCTACAAAAATGAAAAAGACAAAAGTAATGGTCTGTAAACAAATTAGCCGTGTTAAATAAAATATATATATATATGTATAATCTGCTACTNCTATATATAATCTGCTACTTTTAGCGCAGTTAAAACCATTATATTGTAGAATATTTAATACAAACAATATTACTAGCATATTAAATTTTCATGTTTAACATACTGTACAACAATGAATTAAACATTTTTATTTTAATATGCACTGATTTTTATTTGAATATGGGCTAATCTGTATGTTTTTGATGCATCATTATTTATATTAATTTGTAAATGATTAAAAAATAAACAATAATATGGTTTATTCAAAATGGTGATTATGGTGAATGTAGAGCTTTGATTAAATTATATTTTTTAAATAAATTCCTATTAGAAATAATCTAATGCTGTAAAAATTTAGTTAAACTATAAGAAAAAAATTTTTGGGCAAATGTTGGGTATGCATACTGACTTTTAAAGAATGCTATGTCAAAATATTTGGGGGAAGGGGCGAACTATATTTAATATATATTTACAGCTTTGAAATATGGGAACTCTATACATTTCAATGATAGTTACATGAAACGTTAAAGAAGTATTGTAAGTAATGTTTTTGCTTTAGTTAAAAATCATGTCTCTAATAAAGTCAGTGAATATTATGAATTGTGATCATTATTGTTCGCACATAGTAGTTGACTTCTCTGTTAACTTATTGCCTATCTATAAATAATAAGTAATGTAATTAGTTCAAAATATGCTTCTAAAAGAACGTTTGCCAAGTAATTCGACTGTGACAAAGTTTTTCTGCAACAGTGAAAAAGATAAAAATAATTGTCTGTAAACAAATTAGCCAAGTTAAAACAATTAGAAAATTAATGATCTGCTACTTTTAGCTCAGTTTAAACCATTACATTCTAGAATGTTTAACGTTCAATACAAACAATATTGTTACCCTATTAAAATTTCATGTCTGAAATATTGTAAAACGAAGAATTAAAAATTTTAATTAAATTTCTTGATGATATTTCAGTATCCTGATCTGTCCCGCCAAGTGCAATCGCCAAATAGATTTTAAACTTGCAATTTTTTTAAACAATAATATGTATATGTTTGCCCGGGGTATACCTTTCGAGTTTGTCCTATTCTGTAATGTTTCTTTTAGTTTAATAAATATTTATTAAATAATTATTATGATAATAATTAGTCTAATAAATTATTGTTTAATAAAGGTTTTAAATAAATTACTGTTAGATATAATCTGAGACTAAAAATTTAATTAAACAATAAAAAATAAGTGTTATGCGTACTGACTTTTAAATGTTATGTAAATATATTTGGGAAGGGGCAAAATATAATTAATATATATAATACAACTTTGAAGAATTCTCCAACATTGTTTTTTCGACCATAAATTGATGAGTTTGAATTCTTATAGTATCTTTTTATATTGATGTACTTATACGAATTTTAAAATAAGCACTTGTTTATTTAATATTTTTCGGCACTCTTTTTGTTGATTTGCCACATAGCGAATAGTTATTTTCTGGTCTAATAAAAGAAGTTGAAAGGTTTTGCAATTTGATTTTATTTTTTTATTTTTAAATATCTGATAGTTTACTTGGGAGTGCTTATGAGCTAAATTCTTTTAGTTGATCTCCTACCCTCTGTGCTATTTTTTCTGTGACATTAACGAAATTTTTTTTACACTGGTATCGATACCGAAATTTACCATTTAATTTCATTGTAAAGGATATTTCAATTTCTTAAAATCATTTTCGAATTAAATAATTAAAGTTTCAAATAAATATTCAATGTTAAATAGTTTTAAATTTGTTTCTTTTTTTTCATTTCAAAATCTAATTTCTTTTCTTTTTAAATTTCAGTATATAGCTTTTCATCTTCAAGGAAATCTACTATTTTTAAAATAAGCAATGGACGAAAGTAAGCAATTGTTTATTTCACACTTTTTTTGTTGATAGCTTGCCACATAGTGAGTATTTATTTTCAGGTCTAATAAAAGGAGTTAAAGAGTTTTGCAGTTTGAATTTTTTTATTTTTTTTAAACATATGACTTTTTGTTTTTCGTGTGGCTCTACCAAGATTTTTTGATGCAAGTATTGATACCGCAATTTACTCATTGAATTTCATTGTAAAAGACATTACAATTTTTTAAAAACATTTTCAAATTTCATAATTTAAGTTTAAAATAAATATTCATTGTTTAATAATTTTAAATTTGGTTTTTCCATTGTAAATTTAATTTTCCTTTACAATTTCATATCTAGCTCTTCATCTTCAAGACATTTTAATATATATTAAAATTTCTTGTTTAAAATATTGTACAACAATGAATTAAACATTTTTATTTAAATATAGACTGATTTTCATTTGAATATAGGCAAATCTGTATGTTTTTGATGCGTCATTATTTATATTAATTTGTAAATGATTAAAAAATAAACAATAATATGGTCCATTCAAAATGGTGATTATGGTCAATGCAGAGCTTTGATTAAATTATATATTTTAAATAAATTCCTATTTGAAATAATCTAATGCTGTAAAAATTTAGTTAAACTATAAGAAAAAAAATATTTGACAAACGTTGGGTATGCATACTGACTTTTAAGGAATGCTATGTCAAAATATTTGGGGGAAGGGGCGAACTATATTTAATATATATTTACAACTTTGAAATATGTGAATTGTTAGAGAACTCTCCTTCTAAATGATTTTTTCAACCATGAATTGATGATTTTGAATTCTCATAGTATCTTTATACATTGATGTTCTTTTACATTAATCAAATTTTGAAATAAACAATGGAAGAAAATAAGCAATTGTTTACTTAACACTTTTCGCCACTTTTTTATATATAAAAAATAAGTAATGTGATTGGTTCAAAATATGCTTGTAAAACAATGTTTGCTAAGTAATTCGACCCTGACAATGTTTTTCTGCAGCAATGAAAAAGATAAGAAAATAATTGTCTATAAACAAATTAGCCAAGTTAAAACAATTAGAAAATTATTGATCTGCTACTTTTAGCTCAGTTTAAACCATTACATTCTAGAATGTTTAACATTCAATACAAACAATATTGTTACTGCATTAAAATTTCATGACTAAAATATTGTAAAACAAAAGAATTAAACATTTTTATTTACATTTCTTGGGGATATTTCAGTATCGCGATCTGTCCCGCCAACTGCAATCGCCAAGTAGATTTCAAACTTGCAATGTTTTTTGAAAAATATGTATATGTTTGCCCGGGGTTACACCTTTCGAGTTTGTCCTATTCTCTAATGTTTCTTTTAGTTTAATAAATATTTATTAAATAATTATAATAATAATTAGTCTCATAAATAATTATTGTTTAATAAAGTTTTTAAATAAATATATAATTATATAATTAAATATATATATACAATTTATATGAATGATAATTAAAAAGTGTTTTCTTATATGGTACATTATAATTATTTGATAAAATGATACAAAATTGATTAGGAAAGATATAGTAAAACTAAGTTTTTATACTAATGGTTTAATAAGAAATAAAGTATAAATTTTTCCTCATTTATATTAGCATAATAGTTTATTTAATAAGTTAAATGATATCCGACTTCATAGTCCTGAAATTTCTAAATTCCTGATAAAAAAAAACAACTCTATTCTCATAATTTTTTAGCTTTTTGCTCTGATTTCTGATATGTCTGTGCTCAGTGCATCACACATTCTGCAAATACTTATGCAGTTCCTAAAACTATCAGTTTGAATAATCAAAAGATTTGTATTTCCGATATTATAAATATATATATATATATATATATATATAATATCGGAAATACAAATCTTTTGATTATTCAAACTGATAGTACTGGTTGATACTGGTTATTTTTAATACAGAAGTACTATTAACATTTCCTAATTATCAATCTCAAACTGTTACGAATTGCTCATTAATAGAATGAAAAAAATTATTCAAGCTTTGTTTCTGGAATTAAAAAAAAATTATATTTAGAGAGAATTATACTTTTTTGTAAATTTTTTTACAGTTATATGTATAATGATAAATGTATGATGTACCAGCAATTTGGTTATTGATATAATGTAGTATTAAATAAAATGAAATATAATGAGAATATTGTTTATAAATTGTAGGGTTTAAGAAAATCATTTAAAAAAAAAAGCTTTTATCTACATTTACCATTCAAAACATCAAATGAATTGTTTTTATAATACTTAACATTATTTTAAAATATTATAGCTGCAATAGTTAGCATTTCTAAATAAGATGGTTAAAATTAATTAATTATTACAAAACTAATTGAATAAATAGAATCATAATTGTTTTTCATGCTCAACTTGCTAATGAATGTTAAAGTTTGTGATACTATTTTTCAATTAGATATCTAAAGGAGATTAAATTAGTTTAGATCAGACTACATTGTTGAAAAAAAAAATTTTTAAGCTACTTTGGGTCTTGATATCTATGAGCTATATATATAAACTGCATTTAAATAATTAAAAATTTAAATGTGAATAATTTTAATATGTTTCTTTGGCAGCTGATTTATTTAAAAAAATAATAATTTGCTTGCATATCCCTTTCACCATTTCTTAGTAAATAACCTTATTAATGGAAAAAAAAGAAGACTTGAATTAAACATACTATAAATAATGTTTTTATTAGTTATATAGTATAAAAAGTATTTATACTTATAATAGTTAAATAATCAGTTTATTTAAGTAATTGACTTTTTCCAAATCTATTTCTTTAAATCAATACTTTTCTTAAGGATAATCATTAAAGGGATGTACGACTATAATAATTTACATACATATCTCTTTTATTATTTCTTAGTGAAATACCATCATTATCTCTGAAATCAGATCCTAGTTTTTTTTTTAAATGCAACCTAAAGAATGCATTTATTAATTAAATTCAATATCATATTTTTATAATTAAATTAATAATATTTTGTAAAAATAATCAGCTTGTTTTAATCGATGACTTTTAAAAAATCAGTTGATTTAAATCAATGATATTTTTTTCTGTGAACATCATTTAATGTATCTATAGTAAAATAAATTGCTCTATTTTTTTGCAGGAAAACTAGGCTCATTGAAAAGTTCTGGAATGGGATAAAGAAACTATATTTGTCCATATGTAAATAGTGTACATACAGATGTATTGATTTGTTACAAGGAAATAAAACTCTTTCATGGTTTATTTTAAGCTTTAAGCCTTTCATTGTTGTTAAAATTCCTGCTTTTATATATTTAAAATTATTAAAATAGTGTTTTATTTACTGGTACAAAATATTTTTTTTTGAAAAAACTATGATATATATTGTTTATCTAATATTTAATAAACTTAATGACTTGATGAATGGACACAAAATTATAGGATAAATAAATTTTTGTGTGTAAGTTTCTATCAATAAAAGCTAGTTGTAGGTTTTAAATATCTAAGCATTATTTTCAAAACTTAAATAACTTATTTATTGAGTTGCATTATGTTTTACTTTAGAATAAAAATTTGTACTTAATTTAATCTATTAAAAATTTGCACTTAAAAAATTTAAACACTCTATTCTAAAAAATTTTTTTGCATGCTTCTACTTTAAGTGATAGCGTTTATAATTGATCAAAATAAAATAAAAAAATGCCTACTTTATTGTAAGAAGATTCATTGGATGATATTTGATTATAAATTAAACAATTGTTTTACACCATTTTGTTTTTTATATTGGCATAAAAAAGAATGCATGTAATGACAGTTGTTGTTTTATTACAATATAAAAACCTAAAAGTCAATAAATTACTATCGCTGATATCAGCAGAGTAAGACAAACACTCGTGACGATTTATGTTCCCTATATAAGAATTGTTAAAAACATGCAGTAAAAAGCCTTTGAAATTAAAAGCTAGTAACTAACAAAAGGCAAGTAACTAACAGAAAAAAAAATGCCGAGACACCTAAAATAAAGGTGTGATACCGGCAAGGACGGCACTAAAGTTTTCTATTGAACCAAGTGGGGGGGGTGAGTTAAGGGTGGTTTATCAGCAAATAAGGCAAAGAAGTTAGCCTAAGCATCTGAAATAAAGGTGCGATACAGGCAAGGACGCCATTAAAACTTTCTATTGAGGTGAGTTAAGGGTGGTACATCGGTAAATAAGGCAAAGAAGTTCGCCTAAGCACCTGAAATAAAGGTGCGATACGGGCGAAAACGGCATAGACGTTTTCTAATCAGCCTACAGTTAAGGTACTTTAACGGCAAGCGAGGCAACGACGTGTGCCAGTGAACGTATTCAGCTTTTTATCAAAAGGCAAAAACGACATCATAAAGGTACAATAAAAGCCTTTACGGCAATTTTCTCTTTATTCTGTGAAGAAAAAAAAATTTTCCCGGTATTTAACAGGCAAAAATGGTAAAGCAATCCAGAGGCAACAAAGTAGTTCCGATCCTTTAACGATTGCCAGAAGTTTGCCTGAACTGCCATGCACTGGCCCTCATTCTGGCCCAGATTTCACTTTATTTACGGAACCGATACGGCAATGAAAAGCCCGCCGTAATGGCACTTTAGGTGAGCCGACATTGTCCCTTCACTAGCCCAAAAGTCGTGTGCTTGTTGGGTATATTTACAACTTTGAAATATGTGAATTGTTAGAGAACTCTCCTTCTATATGATTTTTTCAACCATGAATTGATGATTTTAAATTCTCATACTATCTATTTACATTGATGTTCTTTTACATCAATCAAATTTTAAAATAAGCAATGTAAAAAAATAAGCAGTTGTTTATTTAACACTTTTCGCCACTTTTTTTGCTGGCTTGTCACAAAAGAGTTTTGCAGTTTGAATTTTTTTTCATTGCAATGATAAACATAAAAATAAATTTTTAGTAAACAAGTTTGCCATGTTAAAATAATTATTAATTAATCAATTACTTTTTAGTTAAAACCATTGTATATTAGAATGTTTGAAATTTTATTCACAAGTCGA